CAACCATACCCTTCTCCAGCTTGTTATTTCTGCCCCACCAACATAGGGGAAAGAAATGAAGATGCCTGGATTGAATGGGGGGTGGTATCTCTGGAATGGGGGAACAAGAGGTATTTTCACAGAGTTTATCTCCACTCTCCTAGTCCCCCCCCCCCACAGCCCCACACTCTCTCCTAGATATAAAGTCTGGCTCTGTCTTGAAAGCTCAGAGGGTGTGTGAGAAAGGGGGTGCCTGTCATCCCTGGTCTAAAACCCAGCTAAAGAAAGAAGGGGTCACAGTCTGAGATAAGGACTGAACAGGAGACAGAGACACGGTATGGAGAAGGAGGTGAAGGTGGGCTGTCTCTCCCCTGCTCCAAGGCTGAAGAAAGGAGTACAGGAGGGGGAGGATGGTCAGAAAGACTCAATCTTTTGTGGGGGCCAAGTCTTGACCTGCACCCCCCCACATCCCTATCCCCCACCAGAAAGGCCGCTGGGGAAGGAGGATCTGGGAATCATATACCCAGGGAGGCAGTCAGACTGGGGTGAAGGCCTGTGCTGGAGACTACGTTTGGGCTCAGAGCCTCCTAACATAAGTTCTGCAAGGCACTTTCCTCCCCAGTTCACACCCTCCCCCCCCCAAATAGTTCCAGCTGAGGAATCTTAGAGGAGTTTGGCTGAGGGGATGAGAATTAGGGAAGGGAGGGGAAAGTTGGGTGCAGAAGGTAAGCTCCCCCCCAAGCCAGCCAGTCGTGTGTGTGTGTGTGTGTGTGTGTGTGTGTGTGTGTACACTGATGCCTGATGCTGGGTGTGAGTCTGTATGCAGGTGTGCACTGGCTCAGTGTGTGTATGCATGTAAGAAAGGGGGTGTTTGTGGGTAGACTCCCCATAATTTTAAGTATGGCATGTGGCTATTTGTAGAGTTGGTGGGGGAGGTGCATATATGGTCCTCTGTGTTTATAGTGGAGAGTATAAAATAGCAATGACAGCAGTCAAAGGACCTGGGTTCAAATCCCACCTTTGATGCTTACAACCTTTGTGACCTTAGGCAAGTCACTTTTCTCTGGGCCTCAGTTTCCTCATCTGTAAAATAAGGGAGTTGGCCTAGATGGATCCTATTTCTTTTGGGATCTCTGTCTCTGCCTGGGCATGGTGTTGGGATGGAAAGAGTTTGAACTTGGAAGTTAGGAGAGACCGAGTTCAAATCCTGCCTCTCACAATTAATAGGTAAGCAAGGGCCAGTCTGAGCATCAGGCCTAGAGTCAGGAAGACTCATTTTCCTAAATACAAATCTGGCCTCAGACACTTAGTAGTTGCGTGACCCTGGGCAAGTCATTTCACCGTTTGCAGTTTCCTCCTTTGTAAAATGAGCTGGAGAAAGAAACAGCAAACCTCACTCCAGTATTTCTGCCAAGAAAACCCCAAATGGGGCCATGAAGCGTTGGACACGACTGAACAACAAAAAGGCCAGTCACTGCCCTCTCTGAGCCTCAGTTTCCTTAAATGAGACAATAAATATTGAGAACCTTAAAGCAATGATATAAATTATGATCTCTATATGAGTTTCTGGATGAATGTATTTGTATAAGAGGTTGGATTGTGGGTGGTGTGAGAGGTGGTAGTGGGAATACCACCCTGGGGGGGGGGGGGGTGGGAATACCCCCAAAATAGCTTCCTGGAGCTTGGTCTGTAGAGGCAAGGTATCTGGAGACTGGCCAGACAGAAATCAAAAGTCCTCCTTAAAGCTCTGATTTTTAACCTCTGAATTTCTCTTTTCTGCTCCCCCCCCCCCCCCCCCGGGGGGGAAGGGGCCAGGCCCCAGATTTACTGATAGGGGGTGGGGCTGCCCTAGGGCCTGGGTGTGTTCTCCTTCCTCAGTTCACCTAGTTAGAAAAACACATCCCATTCTGCGCCCCCTCCACCCTCAACACATATGCAAAGAGTCAATATTGACCCTTCTCCCAGCAATCCAGTGAAACTCACCACCCCACTCACCTCCAATATTCCTACTCTTTCCTCTGGAGTTCTCTGGAGACGTTAGGCTCCAATTTTGGCCTGGATGGGAGTCCTGACTGGGCCACTAAATTAACTTGGTGGCCTTTGCACAGTCACTTCCCCTCCCTAGGCCTGGGGAAAGGTGACCCAGACACCCCACCCACCCCCAAGTAGTTAGAGCCTACTGACTCCCCTAGGCAGACTTCATCATGAAAGCAGCAGCCCAGTGGATAGTGCTGACCCTGAGGAAAGGCCTCCTCCCTCCATCATTAGAATTTAGAGGTGAGGGAGAAGTCTCTTTCATGGCAGGACTGTTGTAGCTGGACCACCCACAAAAACCATCCGTGACATTCCTCAGCCTCTTCTACCACCCAGTCCATCCACCCCCTGCCCTTCCCATGCCAGACAGAAGATCAGATGTTTGGGGCTGGGGGCCGGAAACGGCCAAGCTTCTGTGTGACTGAGACAGAGCCTGTGTCAAGAGTGTGCATGGCAGTGTGTATGAGGCTGCTTGTGGGCATAGGCAAGGTGGCGTAAGCCTAGTGATGTAGACATAGGTGTGAGGGCATATGTGAAACTCCAATAACCTGAGAGCTGCCGTGGACTTTGGGGATCATTGTGTCTAGCCCCCTCATTTTCTGAACAGGGAACTGAAGCCCAAGGTCACTCAGTAACTAATAACAAACACTGCATTTCTAGACTGGAGTTCAAAAGTTGGCAAAAACCCTTCACATGTGTTACCTCATTTGATGGTCATAATGACCCCGAGAGGCAGGTGCTATTATGTACTCATTTTAGAGATGAGGAAACTGAGGCAGAGAGCCATGGCCAAAGTTACACGTGTTGTAATTAATCGGAAGAACTGCTAACATTTCGTTCAATAGAGATTTAGGATTTATAAAGCACTTTACATGTTAACCAGCACTTGCTATGATTTACAAAGCATTTTCCAAAGGTGAGCTCATTGGAAGTGAAGAGCTATTAGGGCTCTCTGTTTTACAGATGAGGAAACTGGGACTGAGATAAACTAAGTACCTTGCCCAGGGACATATACAAAAATGCATCTGAGGGAGGATTTGAACTCAGGTCTTCCTGACTTCCAGTCCTAACATTCTATGCACTAGACCACCTTACAAAGCACCTGGTCCTGTCTCTCACTCTAGTACTCTGGGCCCTTTTCATGCTGCCACCCAGGGATGTGCTGGAGCAGGCTTCCTGAGAGCCAATAGTTAAATTTTCCGTGTAAGCATTTTCACCTTGGAAATCAGCAAAGGCTACATACCAGGATTTGTTTATTGTTTCTGTCAATTGTCTGGACTTAAGAAAGTGATGGAGAAAATATTAAGACTATAGAATAAATGTAAAAATCTGTGCCGAGCACTTTTTCTTTTTGGTGAGCTGATTGTTAAACATTTATCAGCACATCTTTGCTGTAACATTATGTCTTCTACTTGGGGCCAAAAAAAACCTTCACAAATAGGGGAGGTGCAGCTTGGAAAGCAGCTGGTCTGGGAAAGATCTGGGGGATTTAGTGGCCTGCAGGCTTGAGACAAGCCTACAGTGGGATACGGCAGCTGTCCTCTGTCCTGGAGCAGACCACACCTCCAATACCGTGTTCATCGCTGGGCTGGGTATTTTAGGAAGGATAGTAATGAGCGGGAAAGTAGCCAGAAGAAGATAGCATCCACTTAAGGATCCCAGGATGTTTACCAGGAGGAGAGAAGACTTGGAAAACTTGGATCCGAGGAAGGATTAGTCTTAGTCTGCTGGGTCCCAGAGAGTAGAACCAGGAAGGGGGAGGTGTCCTAAAGAGGCCAATTGGAGCTATCATCCCTCTCCCCTTCCCCCCAAGAGAAGAGATAGTGAGTTCCCTTACCTGGAGGCCTTCAGGGAGAGGCTGGCAGGCTGCTATCTATTGGGCACATTGTGAAGGGGATGCCAACGGGGCAGAGATCAGACTAGGTGGCCACTGGCCGCTGTACCCCATCCCTCCTTTGAGAGTCTGTGACTATGTTTGATGAGACTATCAGGGGAGATGTGAGTGAGAAAGGCTGGATATGAAAGTGAGTTTGTGTATATGAGGGAGAGGGTAGTGGATGGAGCTAGGGGGATGGAGAGAGAAGAAGGGGAGAAGGAGAGAGAGAAAGAGAGGGGAGGGGAGAGAGAAAGAGAGAGAGGGAGTGGTGTGTGTGTGTGTGTGTGTGTGTGGAGAGGGAGTGGGTGTGTGTGTGTGTGTGTGTGTGTGTGTAAACACCCTGTGTCCACAGCACTCCAGCTATACTGGAGTTACCAGGCCCAAGCTTGAATCTCGGCTCTGTCACTTAATATGTAGGTGACCTTAGGTCACTTCACTCCCCCAGGCCTCATTTTCCTCATCTGTAAAGTGAAGGGGTCAGATCAGATGACCTTTCAGGTCCCTTCCAATTCTAGATCTTTGATCCCTGTAATCTACGGCCTCTTCCTGTGTGTGCCCATTTGTAGGAAGAGAGGAGAAGCAACTTAGACAAAGAAGTGCCCCCAGGGTCAAGAAGCCCTGCATTCAAGCCTTGGCTCATTGACCCTGGGCAAATCCCATAATCTCTCAGTTCTCAAGGCAATTCCTGAAGTTTCCAAGCAGGTACTGACCTGCAAGGGGAGAGAGAATGCCCACCTAGAGAAGGGTGCTCAGCAGAGAAAGCAAGATGTTTGGGGGGCCCCGGAGCCCTGTCTGCCCTCTCCTAATGGCTCTGTTTGTCCCTAAGCTGGGGCCCTCTGAAAGGACAGCAAGTCTGTCCGAAAGCAGACAAGGGTCACCTCCTCAGAGCTGGACCACAGAGACAGAGGAGGCTTCTCCCATAGCTTGAGATTTTTACAAGAAAGAAAACCAGGGGTTTAGGGGAGGTGCTGGGGACTGAGGCTAGCAGCCCCCCAAACCCTCTTAAAACACGTATGTACTCATATACACTCAACACCCAAAGTCTTTCCAAGGCTCTCCAGCCGCCCACCCGCCAGCCCCAAATCTGGCCCTGGACAGGGCAGGGACTCACGTAGTCATGAAAAGCCTTGGCTTCGCTAGAATGCTCACAGGTCTCTCTCCGGTCAGGGGCCGCACAGTACAGGTCCCAGAATACACTGGAGGGGAAAGGAAACAATTAGGAAGACGTTGAGGCACAGCCTTCTACCCAGCACGGGTCCCTGTCCTCAGATCCCTCACCCCAGTCAATCTCCCCCCACCCATCACTCCTCCTTGGAGTACCCTTTCCCCACTGGACCCCGCTTACTTCAACTCCAACCCTCCCTTCTATCATTCTTTTCCAGTCTTAGGGGCTCCTCCCCATCCCCTCACCCCAGAACCTCTACCCCTTCCCCCATCACTCCTCCCTAGAACAGCCCTGCCTCATTGGGGCCCCTCAAATACTTACCACCACCAAGAGTGCAGAAACCCTGGGGGCTCCCCCAATGTAATATTCTTCTCCCACCGGATCTGCCAGAACCAGAAGCAGGTTAGGGAGAGGGAGTGAGGGAGGGAGGGAGAGAGAGAGAGAGAGAGAGAGAGAGAGAGAGAGAGAGAGAGAGAGAGA